TGAATACAGCTAATACATACTATTTAACCAGCAAATTTCACTACCCATCAGAACTGTTGTTATTCCACTTGTTCCTGTTTATCCAGGTAAAGATGAATACAGCTAATACATACTATTTAACCAGCAAATTTCACTACCCATCAGAACTGTTGTTATTCCACTTGTTCCTGTTTATCCAGGTAAAGAGATATCATCTATGGAACTCAACATCCTATGGGTCAAGTAGGTCTATCCCGAATACAAGAAGTGGAAGAAGCCTACCTTAGCAGATATCAGGTATTACTAGTTTATTTATTATTCTTGTCATAATTGTTTTCAAATACATCTCCTGTTATATCAAAATGGGATACAATACTTTTTCCAGTAAATTGTAAATTTTGAAATATCACATAATTCATTAAACAAAAATATATAAGCATACATGTCAACTATTGTGCATTATGATTTTTCTGTTAAAAAACACTAATTTTAAACATTAAAAAAAATGTAATAACCTATATTTTGTTTTCACAAGATCTGCCATACAAATAAATCTTGTGGAGATGAAACATCATCAGAATAAAACAGTTTTAAGTTTACCCATTTGAAGCTGTATTTGATAAGTATGTTTATTATATTCTTTCTATTATTAACCAGGGTTGATAGACATTAATTCTTTTCTTATTCAACCAAAACAGTGCCTTGTTTAATTTCAAACACATCACAGATCAATTCTTTGGCGTCTTCGTAGATTTTTGTAGAAATGGAACAGATTTTTCCTGATCTCTGTTGGTAACTCAGCTACTCTTGTTGTTGGAATGTCAAGTTGAGTCTCTTTAGGAACAATTGCCGTGAATGTCATTGACATTGCAGCATCTTTCATGGACAGTTCTGTTGCAGCAATTGTAGACGTACTATCGGTAGTTTCAGGCAGTGATTGACATGGAAGTGTCGAACAGTATATCCTACTTGAACAAGGTAGGCCAGTGTGTTGAAGACTTTCTCCAGGCAGCTGTTTCAGATCTCTGTGGAAGTTACAAAAAGTGAAGATATTACCCAGCTTGAATGTCTCTTGCTTGTTGCTGATTGCTATAGCCAATCCAGGCTTAACAATGCTTAGACACATTCTAAAATGGTGTTTTAGGAATAGTTCAGCTGGGATTTCACCTGTGTGCAAGTGGGATGTTGTTCTCATCTTAAGAGGTATAGGCTATAATCTTTGTCTTAGTGATAACCCTGCTTTTTCTGTTACAAGTCGTTTTTTCAGCTCTATGTGTGATGCTCAGAGTCTCTTTCTCGAACTGCATATTTGTCCTCTGTATCTGTAAGGATTTTTGATTCATGCACAGTTGATCACTCAGATCCATCAGTCATGTTATGGAAAATGTCTTTGCACCAAGGCTGTAACAGCTTGTGCCAGTAGCCAGTCTGGTTAGGTGTTTCATACCATAGTGTTTTAACACTTTTTTTTATGTGAGTAGCTGTTTCACCTTATTAAAAGCACTCTCTTGCTGAGATGAACACCGTTTTTTTCAAGTCTAGGTAGGACCTTTTTGATTTTTATCAACATGTTCTCTGTCATCTCTAACAATCAATTCCACGTCATTCATGTAAGGCACTATCTTATTAATACCTTGTAGTATTTCTTTATTGGCTTTCTGGTAGATTGCAGCTATTAGTGTAATTCCAACTTAAAGTCTGTTGAGCTGTGTGTTGATATTTCTTCAATTCTTCAACTACAATATTGTAAGCTAAGTTTGAAGTGTTGACCTTCTGACATTGTGGCAAAGTGGATACTGGTCAACATCCAACTATGGGTTTATTGTGACCTTCTAGTCTCCCCAAATTCATAATGATCCATCTGTTTCTGGAAGAATGGTAATTGGTGTAGTCCAGTAATTATGGCTAACTTTGATATGATGCCTTTCTATTTTAGTATTTTCAGTTGATCTCTGACTTTGTCTTCAAGAAGATATGGTCCTGGCTGGAAAAACTCTGACATTGAGACAGATTTTAGTTGAAATGAGCTTCAACAGTTTTGATAATGCCTAGAATCTCTTTGAACACTGAAGGTTTGTTGCTGTAACAACTGAAAATAACAGTGAACAAGGGTTTACAGTCCATGGTAATGTAGCCAGTTTCTCTCAAGAACTGTGGTTGATTCACTTTAGGGACCAACACTGGAAGATCTTTCTTTTGAACCTTGTAAGTGAAGAAGACAGTTATGACCCCTTTCACTGGAATGATATCATTTTACTAAGATTTCAGAATGTGATGACTTGACTTGAGAGTTAGTTTCTGAAATTATGGTTACTGTGGAATCTGAATCAACCTCAATCATTATGGAACCATCATTGATGTTAATATTGATTTTTATAGCAGCTCTACATCAGGGGTCCATGAGAGTGGCAAAATAATGTGTATCAAATCAGTACAGAACATTTAAGCAAACATTAAATGTGACTTCAATCACCTATTCATGTAAACATTAGGAGACTTGTAGTAATTACAGTTAATCCAATTAAAACAGGTGACTGCTTGATCATTTTGCGAGAGTTAAGAAACCATGGAATGTTACCTTAGAAGTAAGTTGATTTTACACAAAATATCTCTAAAACGTTACAGCCAAACAGATATGTGTAGTCTTCTTCTTATCAGATAGCTTGCACTTCATCAGATTCTTTTCATTGACTTCTTTTGAATGAAATGTTTAAATATGCAGTCTCATTTTCTAGTCTTAAGGTGAGAAAAAACGAATCTTATTTCAGACCTATACAGAAGAATTTTGCAACTTTAGCACTCTATCCTTTATATTTCTTTATTTAAGATGCCAGTAGAGGAAGCAGAACAAGAGTTTCCAAAACCTGTGTTTGTTGAACCATTACAAGCCAACTTCACTGTGAATGAAGGGGAAGGTCTTCGACTGTACTGTCGCTATGAGCCGTCTGCAGACCCTAAACTTGCTATTGAATGGTTCTTTAATGGGAAACCTTTAGAACTAGGTCAGTAACAATAAGTATGGAAATGTTCACCTTTAGAACAGTTTTATACTGTTTACAACACAATAATTATTAAGAAACCTATAGAGGTATCACAGAATATTAAAGAACAATATGTTTATTTTGCATATAGCATCTCGCTTCACAAGCACCAGTGATTTTGGGCAAGTCACTCTAACAATATCCGATCTCTGGCCAAGAGACTGTGGTGTCTATACTTGTCGTGCACATAACAAGAGGGGTGAAGCCTTCACTTCAACGACACTTCAGTGTGTTGGTAAGTTTTTACTTAATATGCAATAGTATGTTGATAAGTTTTTAATTAGTATGCAATAGTATGTCAGTAAGTGTTTAGTTAGTATGCAGTAGTATGTTGATAAGTTTTTAATTAGTATGCAATAGTATGTCAGTAAGTGTTTAGTTAGTATGCAATAGTATGTTGATCAGTGTTTAATTAGTATGTTGGTAAGTGTTTAATTAGTATGCAATAGTATGTTGGTAAGTGTTTAATTAGTATGCAATAGTATGTTGGTAAGTGTTTAATTAGTATGCAATAGTATGTTGATAAGTGTTTAATTAGTATGTTGGTAAGTGTTTAATTAGTATGTTGGTAAGTGTTTAATTAGTATGCAATAGTATGTTGGTAAGTGTTTAATTATGCAATAGTATGTTGATAAGTTTTTAATTAGTATGCAAATGTACTTTTTACAATAATCTGTGCTTACAAAAGTTTATATTCACTCCATAATCAATAAGAATATGTCTCTTTTTAAGATCAAGGGAAAAATTAAACTAATAATACAATATGATAAAAACCATATAGCCCGAGCACTTTCAAGAGGCTTACCTTTAGAAAGCACTTGGGTTTTTATCATTTTGTATCAAGACTTCTTGAACCTATGTGTTTTTCTGACATCATGAACTAATAATTCAATAACGTGAAAAGGTTGGGTGTGGGTTTGATTCTATATTGCTTAAAACCATCCTTTTGTAATGGGAAGAAATTTAAATTGTGTGGTGAGAAAACAGATTGTTCAGATTTTTACATTTTTACAATATATTTTCAAATATACTATTATAAAGAAAAACCTACTGGAGAGTTTTGTTTTTGTGGCTTTGGAAATGGCCAGTACATTTATAAATGATTGAATATCTGCCTCATTGAGAGCTGTAAATAACTACTAACTCTACTAGTTTTATCATTTGTAAAGAGCTTATTCATATTTTTATAGTAGTTTAGTACAAAATAAAGTTAAAAAATGATTATTATTTTTTTACTTATAACCAATATATGTTATTCATATCAAATACATGTGACTATGGTTATTTTTTTACTTATAACCAATATATGTTATTCATATCAAATACATGTGACTATGGTTATTTTTTTACTTATAACCAATATATGTTATTCATATCAAATACATGTGACTATGGTTATTTTTTTACATATAACCAATATATGTTATTCATATCAAATACATGTGACTATGGTTATTTTTTTACATATAACCAATATGTGTTATTAATATCAAATACATGTGACTATGGTTATTTTTTTACATATAACCAATATGTGTTATTAATATCAAATACATGTGACTATGGTTATTTTTTACATATAACTGATATGTGTTATTAATATCAAATACATGTGACTATGGTTATTTTTTTTGCATATAACTGATATATGTTATTAATATCAAATACATGTAACTATGGTTATTTTTTACATATAACTGATATGTGTTATTAATATCAAATACATGTGACTATGGTTATTTTTTTGCATATAACTGATATATGTTATTAATATCAAATACATGTAACTATGGTTATTTTTTACATATAACCGATATGTGTTATTCATATCAAATACATGTGACTATGGTTATTTTTTACATATAACCGATATGTGTTATTCATATCAAATACATGTGACTATGGTTATTTGTTTTTTGCATATAACCGATTTGTGTTATTCATATCAAATACACATGACTATGATTATTTTTTATATATAACCAATATGTGCTATTCATATCAAATACATGTGACTATGGTTATTTGTTTTTTACATATAACTGATATGTGTTATTCATATCAAATACATGTGACTATGGTTATTTTTTTACATATAACTGATATGTGTTAATCATATCAAATACATGTGACTATGAATACATATAATATTCAGAGGAACAAAAATATAATAAATAATTTTACATAATGTTCAAAAGTGAATGTAGAAGTTTGTGGATAAGCATTTCATACATCATTTTTAAAGAAATATAACTTAACTAAACACATGTGTGTAATTTTCCAACATATAGAACTTAACAACAACATTTAATTGTCCAACAAATAAAATTTAAGTAAACAAAATAAAAGTTAAGTAAACAGCAGGATGTAATTTTGCAACAAGTACATGTTTTGTATTTAAATCTAATGCAATAGTTAAACAACAGCATCAGTTTATTGAACAAATACTATATATATATAATTTTATGGTCACTTCAGTGTTTTACTGAACAAACATTATATTCATTATCTAAACAGGAAAAAGCTTTATCTATGAAGGAACACTTCATCCTGAAGGAGAAAGAGGGCTTGAGAGGATCCAGGACTTGGAAGAGTCATTGGTCAGGCAATCTGAAGGAGTACTTTTGGAGGAAGAAGGACACCCACCTATTTTTACATCTCAGTTCCAGAACTTGACTAACCTCAGTGAAGGGGACATTGCACACTTTGAGGCAACACTCACACCAGCAGGAGATCAAACTATGGTTGTTGAATGGTTCTTCAATGAAAAACCACTTAAAGCTGGTGTGTTTGTTATATCATCGTATATATTGTGATGTATACATAAAATGAGTAATTTAAATATTTAATTTTTTTTATAACCAGATGTAGTAGGTTTTGATTAATTAGAATTACAGAATTGTCTCTACAATGTATATTTTACTTTAATTCAGTTGCAATGAGAATGTAAGGTTGCTAATGGTTAAAAGCTATTAATGTCCCTATTAATCTAGTTTTTATTTTCTGGATACTTTTATGAATTTTGTATTTCACTGTAATCAAACTGAAAAAATTTTGTTACACATAAAAATTTGAAAGTAAAAAAGGAAATTTATTACCATAATTTGTTTTTTAATGAAACTTTTTTTTATTTATTTTGTGCTTTTTTTGTCCTCAGGTCATCGTATTCGTACAGTCCATGCCTTTGGTATGGTAGTTTTAGAAATCCTAGGTGTCATTGCTGAGGACACAGGAAGATACACTTGTCGAGCAACCAACAAATGGGGAAAAGCTGAAATCACTGTTATCTTAGAGACCGTTGATCGCTCACGGGGTCAGAAACCTCATTTCACAACCCAACTACAGAGCATTGTGGGATTGAAAGAGGGTGACAGTGCACACTTTGAATGTTTCCTGGTACCAGTTGGGGATCCAGCTATGAAAGTTGAATGGTTCCATAATGGACAACCCCTCAGAGACAGTAAGTGTTGATTTTATTTAAACCCCTTGTGGCTCAAGGGTAAGCTTGAGGATACGATGTAGATAGCCCTGTGTGTAGCTTTGCACTGAAACACAGACAGGATACGATGTAGATAGCCCTGTGTGTAGCTTTGCACTGAAACACAGACAGAAAAGTCTAAAATCTAACCATTGTGAAAGTATTTTTTATAATTTGATATAATTTGTAATTAAGTATATTTAACCATAAAAATATGTGTACATATTTCTATATATATTTATATATTTTAAAACGTAATCCAAAAACACAAAGAGAAGACACTTATATAGTCATGAATTGTACTGGATTCAAATGGTATTAAGAATATAGTCTATCTCTTTAGTAATACATCAACATGTCTGCTGTGTAACACCAGATGAATGTATTTGAAATTATTAGAGAACCTGGTTCGGGTGCTTGAACCTGTAATGTCCTCGTCTTAACTATACGTTCACTGTGTGCAGTCAATTATGGGAAGGAGGTTCCCAGTAATAAAATATTCACTGACAACTTACACATGGTTAAGTTCTCATTTTGTAATTGCGTATATACACACACACACACAGATATATATATATATATATATAAAGATTTGCTTTTGCTAAGATAGATGTGATTAATGATTTAACTTCTACAAATTATCTAACTACCTAGAAATTACTGAATGAAGATTCCTAAATACCAATCTTATGTAAATAAAGTTAGTTTGGTTTAAAATTACATTTTAAAAATTTCAAAAAACTTTGATGAATAAAAATTATTATTCTGATTATTCCAACAGTTGAGTAATTAAAGTTACATGCCATAGGGCCATTGATTAGTCAGTTAGCAAATAGTAATTAAAGTTACATGCCATAGGGCCATTGATTAGTCAGTTAGCAAATAGTAATTAAAGTTACATGCCACAGGGCCATTGATTAGTCAGTTAGCAAATAGTAATTAAAGTTACATGCCATGGGGCCATTGATTAGTCAGTTAGCAAATAGTAATTAAAGTTACATGCCATGGGGCCATTGATTAGTCAGTTAGCAAATAGTAATTAAAGTTGCATGCCATAGGGCCATTAATTAGTCAGTTAGCAAATAGTAATTAAAGTTACATGGCATAGGGCCATTAAATTAGTCAGTTAGCAAATAGTAATTAAAGTTACATGCCATAGGGCCATTGATTAGTCAGTTAGCAAATACCAGCTCTAACAACTGGAGAATAAAATTTTTATATTGTTAGCTTAGTTTATGGATTTAGGACCAACATAAAAATTTGTAAGCTGGCTAAGCCAAGTGTAACATTTACCATGATATGGTTGTTCTTACTTGGATATCAGGCTAAAGATATGATCATTTTACCACATTTTCAAAGTTTATTAGTCTTTACCATAAAGATTATTTCACATTGTTAGCTCACTTTATGGATTTAGGACTAATCTAAATCTACTGAGCTAACCCAGCTAGTTAAAACGTTTATCATAGTGCAGACACACGGTGTTGGTTAGAATATTTAATATATCTACATTTATTAATTCTAATTTAATTTTATAATTCTTGTTTTGTTATAATGACTATTCTGCATTGTTAGGTTAGTCCTAAACCCATGTATAAAGTTGAGCCTCCTTGGCTAGCTGAACCTCGTGAGATGTTATTTGGTTTTTGGCTGAAAATAGTTAACAGTGACAATACCGAACTGGTGAAACAATACGTTCTAGTCAGTACAAGTGAATTAGCTTTTTATATTTTGTAACTTCTGTTTATTTGTAGTATCTTCTGCTTTCCCTGTTTTAGTCTTTGTATATTTCCAGAAGAACTTATAATTTTAAAACACGTGTTTAATTTTATAACATTAATTAAGTTTAAAAGAATTATAAAAACTGAGCTAAGTATTCAGATAAATAGAATTATGCTTTTAACTTCTTTAGGCTCACGCATCAAAACCCTGAGTGATTTTGGTTATGTGGTTATGGACATCTCGTTTGTCCATGTTGAAGATGTAGGAGAGTATATCTGTGTAGCCACTAACAAGTATGGCTCTGACACTACCCGCTGCATTCTGGAGTGTGCTGGTAAGTCTGCTTGGACCAGAGTGAAGAAGAAAATGTAAAATGAGTAGATACAAATTTTGTAACATAATCAAAAGTTATATTTCCATTGTAAATATATTGTTATGTATTTTTATTGCTTTTATTTGATTAGCAAAATTAAAATATTTCCTTTTTTTAACCTTGATTATATAGTAACGTTAAATAATATAGTAATAGTTTACTGTATGACTGAAAAAAGAAATGTATAACTTGCATATTTTTATAGGTCATGGCAAGATCTTCAGAGATTCTTTACAACCACAGAGCTTAGAAAAGATAGCAGCACTGGAAGGTTATTCTCATTACAAGACGTCTATGACTGTAGGACCATCAGTTAATCAACCTCCAAAATTTCACAGTCAGATTCAATCTTTGGTCCATCTGGTAGAAGGACAAAGTGCCCACTTTGAAGCCCAGTTGTCTCCAGTGAATGACCCCAACTTAAAGGTGGAGTGGTTCTTCAATGGCCAACCATTTAGGCATGGTAAACTTTTTTATAAAATTATATTTTCTTATGTAGCTCATACATTTTAACTTTTTATACATTTGTATATCATTAAAATATGAACATACCTATGTGTGTCCCAAACCTGGCCACCTTCATTTAAATTTGGAAAACTTCAGTCCAGTAAATAGGCCAGCTATAAAACATATATTATAGACAGTATATAACAAATAAAAGTGTGAAAAAAGAGAGACTACTACAGGAGTGAACACCTGTTGACAGTAGTCCCTTCTATAAGAAGTGTTAAAGGGGATATGTTCGATTTAAATCCATTTATTCAGCATGGTACAATAAAATGATACATTTATATAATACCAACATGAAAAAAAACAAAAAATATATATATATAAGGTGAACAACAACAAATATATACTCAAACACTTTCCTCTCTTTATGCATATTGTTCTTTCATGTACCTATCTTCAAAATATTTGTTTCAATCAGTCGATGGAGGAAGTCCTGTTTTTTGTGAAATTCACTCACAAAAAAGAATTATTCATAATAAGTTTTTCTCAGATTGACCGATAAATGCATACGAAGACAGGCAGATCAATGTTGATATCGACATAAATTTTAGGAATTGCAAAAAATGAATAATTTCCTAACCTCAATAGCCATATTTCCTGAACTCAACATGAACAAACGATCAGTGGATAGAAGTACATGTCCTAAGATTGACAGACAATGATGATGTGACAGTAAATGTTCTAAACAATGTAGACAAATCAAAGGATGAAAGCACACACCTTAACTTCCAATAAAGTGTGAAAATATTCTTACACTCAACACATGCACTAACCTCAACAACTAGTGAAAGTACAAATAGTATATAAAATAAACTGAAGAACCAGCCGGATGGATGACAATATTTATTTTAATTACAAAAGCCAGAGTAGCTATGAAAATGGATACTAACTTGAAAAATTAGATTCAAGAACCAACTGAGGAATGATAGTATATGTCTGATCTCAACAACCAGTGTAACTATGAAACAACATGTGAAATATATCTTAACCTCGGTAAACATTATGAAATGATTTCAATTAAGTTAACAAAACAAAAGAATGGGCATGGCATAGACTGCTGGTTAGGGCACTTCACTCACAGCCACATTTACCTCGTTGTTTCTGACTCACAACTATCCCTGACCCATTGTTTAGCAATTATTAAAATAACTTAATGTATTCTTGCAAAAAATATGTTTTTTGAATAGTAATATACTATTAAAATTAGGTCTAATTGGTACATGTTCATTGTTCCTCTTTTAGGCCATCGCTTCAGAACCTTCCATGATTTTGGAATTGTCATTTTGGACATCCTTTATTGCTATGGTGAAGACAGTGGAGAGTACATGTGTAAGGCTACAAATCGTCTAGGCACAGATGTCACTAAGACTGTACTTAGATGTACATGTAAGTTAATACCACACATGTTTTACAACATTCTGTTTACATTTCATTTATGAACAAAGAAAATTGATATTTATTTTAAAGACTCAAATGTATAATATTCCATATATATCTCTTTAAATAAGAATCTACATTTTTAGACCTAACATATATAAGTGATTAAAACCATGCTTGGCTACAGACGTTTATTCATGGTGTTCCTCTTTACAAATTTTGAACCAGAGATGCAGACCTATGTTTTCTTTCATAGATCACTTCCTGGTGGTCTTTCAATGTGTACCAGAACTATCAATGGGCTGGACCTACAGCAGTTCAAAAATACATATACAATTTTGTTTGTACACACTACCTGAAACTTAATGTAGTGGTGTAAATTGCTTCAGTTGTCAAAGCTATGAGGCTTAATTTTTAGGCCTAAAAAACAGTCTTTGATTGATATGGAAACCTTTAGTTTTTTCATTTTTCCTACAGCTAAAAGTTCTCTGATTTTGGAGCCTCAGCTGCCTCCTGAAATGGCTGGTGGTACTGAGCATATTATTGAACTTGAAGAAGCTTTGTACCAGTCTCGAATGGAAATATCGGAAGAAATTACACGAGAAGCTCCCCAATTTACAAAACCATTAGATAATTTGACAAACATGCATGAAGGAGAGAGTGCTCACTTTGAGGCTCGGTTGATACCAACTGATGATCCTGATCTTAAGCTTGAATGGTTTAAGGATGGAAAACCACTTCGTGCTGGTGAGTTTTAAGGAACTGTGAGATAAACCTGAAAGACAGTTTGCTTTTCTTTGATTAAAATGTCATGATTATGCCTGCTTTGTTTTAATTTTATGAACTGCTATACGTAGATAATATTTTTAAAATTATATATTCTTTAGTGTTTTAAGTCCCATAAATTGGTAACACTACTGTTTAATTTTGCCCAAGCTTTTTGTCCCACACCTGTGAACATAATTTCCTAAGAAAGTCACAACTTATAGTTCACATAAACTGTGAGTATCATTTTCTAAACACTGTTCAGATATTTAGTTCAATGAACTATGAACATCATTTTATAATACTGTTAAAGCTTTTAGTTCCATGAACTATGAACATCATTTTATAATACTGTTGAAGCTTTTAGTTCCATGAACTTTGAACATCATTCTCTAAAACTGTCAAGGCTTTTAGTTCCATGAACTATGAACATCATTTTATAATACTGTTGAAGCTTTTAGTTCCATGAACTATGAACATCATTTTATAATAGTGTTGAAGCTTTTAGTTCCATGAACTATGAACATCATTTTATAATACTGTTGAAGCTTTTAGTTCCATGAACTATGAACATATTTTTCTAACACTATCATAGCTTCTAGTTCCATAAACAGGGAACATGTTTTTCTAACACAATCACAGCTTATAGTTCCATAAACAGGGAACATATTTTTCTAACACAATCATAGCTTATAGTTCCATAAATGGGGAACATGTTTTTCTAACACTATAATCGCTTCTAGTTCCATAAACAGGGAACATATTTTTCTAATGCTATCATAGCTTATAGTTCCATAAATGGGAAACATGTTTTTCTAACACTATAATAGCTTCTAGTTCCATAAACAGGGAACATATTTTTCTAATGCTATCATAGCTTATAGTTCCATAAATGGGGAACATGTTTTTCTAATGCTATAATAGCTTCTAGTTCCATAAACAGGGAACATATTTTTCTAACACTATCATAGCTTCTAGTTCCATGAACTATGAACATATTTTTCTAACACTATCATAGCTTCTAGTTCCATAAATAGGGAACATGTTTTTCTAACACTATCATAGCTTATAGTTCCATAAATGGGGAACATGTTTTTCTAACACTATAATAGCTTCTAGTTCCATAAACAGGAAACATATTTTTCTAACACAATCATAGCTTATAGTTCCATAAATGGGGAACATGTTTTTCTAACACAATCATAGCTTATAGTTCCATAAACAGGGAACATGTTTTTCTAACGCTATAATAGCTTCTAGTTCCATAAACAGAGAACTAGTTTTTCTAACACAATCATAGCTTATAGTTCCATAAACTGTGAACATTACTTTGCAGCTTGTAGTGATTTCAATGTATTACTTCCTGGTATAATTTCATCCTACTATTTCTGTCTTAGGCTTATGATAAATACTGTGGTAAAAGCTTTATATCTGACAAAAGAAAAACACACATACACAAGAATGTAAACATATGTTCATTTTTTCTTTTCGAAAGGTACTCGTATTCGAACCATCCATGACTTTGGATTTGTCGTTCTTGAAATCAGCCCAGTGTATCCAGAGGACAGTGGTATTTATTCCTGTCGTGCTGTCAACAGAATAGGTGAAGCAGTCACCACATGTACTATGAAATGTGAAGGTATGCATTAGTACTGTCTTGTAAATGTGAAGTTACTGTTTGATACTGTCAACTTGTAAATGTAAAGGTACTGTTTGATACTCTCAACTTATAAATGTGAAGGTGCTGTTTGATACTGTCAACTTGTAAATGTGAAGGTGCTGTTTGATACTGTACTGTCGACTTTTAAATGTGAAGGTGTTATTTGATACTGTTGACTTGCAAATGTGAAGGTGCTGTTTGATACTGTCTACTTGTAGATGTGAAGGTGCTGTTTGACACTGTCTACTTGTAAATGTGAAGGTACTGTTTGATACTGTCTGCTTGTAAATTTGAGCACCTTCACATTTACAAGTAGACAGTATCAAACAGTACCTTATTTGATACTGTTTACTTGTAAATGTGAAGGTGCTGTTTGATACTGTCAACATGTAAATGTGAAAGTGTGTCTGACATTTAAATGTTAAAGTACTGTATGGTACTTTCATTATGTTGTACAGTGCAAGAAAGAAAGTTAGTCTTATATATCTTCTACAAGACACATTGCAATTTGCATTAAATCACAAAGTATTCATATATTCTTATGTTGTGGAGGAAACAAGCTACAGTTTGATTTTCATTTTTATTTGTAGGTTAGTTGACTTAAGGTATCTACCAAAGACAATATCCAACCAAAAGCGTTAAAACCTGCTAAAAGAGAGAATTTATATCATAACTTAAATACAATGTTTCATTTACTGTAATAATATAATAAATTTACAGGAAGTCAGTTTATGTTCGTATTTAAAACTCCATTGTTCTATATACTAAGGTGATCTTTGGGTTTTGAATAAAACATAATTTTTTAAATAAAATATTTGACATCTCTTCTAGCCTTATCATAGCTGTATAGTAACTGAAACTTGTGATAAGAAATTGAATTAAGTTTCAAGGTTCTCACTGGTTTACCAATGAGTTGAATTTCTTCTGTTTACTTAAACTCATATTGCAATTATTATTAACTCTTTCAGTACTGTTGGGTTATATTAGTCTAGTGTATGTTTGTGTAGGACTTTGCAGGACAAATGAAACTTTGATTGTAAGATTTTAGTGTTACTTTCACCTCAGAATGTATATATATGACATGTTTCCATAAATTTCCTGGACACATCTAACCCAACAACAATGCCTGTTGGGACACATTTGTCCCTTATGTAAGTTTCAGAAACCGTGCATGGGAAAATATTCAACAATGCAGAAAGCATTCTTTATGTACCCTAGGTCATATATATATGTACTTGTATTCTTTCTATTTTACGAATAACCAATTCATACTGAAATGGTTAAAACGTTAATGTGTTAAGCAATATACACATCTTAGTGAAATCTCTGTCTGTAAAAGTTACTTTACTTATTATACTGGGAGTAAAGAATGTTCACTTTACCCCAAGGGTTCACTATTTTAATGAAGTTTATCTTGATGCTTTGAAGACAACAATTTATGATTACAATGAGAAGCATGACTTATGACTGTAACAAAGCATAATGACATAAAAAAAAGAAAGGGGGCACTTTATATGAATTAAAACACACGTAACATGCTCTTCCAACACCAGCAACTTAATAATCTATATAAAACTCTATACAAGTTATGGCTTCTAGTTTTATGATTTATTACTGTTATTAAATATAAATCAAGATATTTTTACACATATTAACTCTAAACATATACTCATCATCCTGGCATGCTTCGATATATATGTGTAGTACTCCCAGTAATGATATTTGTTCTACCACTTCCCACTTTCAGTACACAGCCATAGTAAAAGAGTGATTAGTTTACAAGGAGAAATTAACAACACATTGGAAAGTGAAACAATGAGTACCACTTCCATGTGACAACAATAGATATTATTGTTAAACACCTACAGCATATACAAATAAAACCTATTGTTACTAAATAGTAAATACTTAAAGTACTGATGCAAATTTCTTTACATTTGGGAAGGGAGAGAGAAAGGTAAAGAAAAAACCTTTTATGGTTGAAACACTTAGTGGTGAAAGTATTGTTAATTTGAAATTAACAGTCTGTAGAGATGTATGTCTAAACAGCATTGTATATTGTTATTATTTTCTAAAAGCTTACATGATCATAGAAATAAAAATATGTAAATTTTAATTTTTATAAGTTTAACTTTAAAAATTTTTGAAAATATATATACTTTACGTCTAATAATTTCATTTTCAAATTAATGTGATAATTGAATCTGTATTGTGTTACATTTTAAACATTGGTCAGTCAAACTTTTAATATAATAGTGTTTTGAAACCACAAATTCCTGATGTGATTTAAGGAAAACGAGGCATCATACTGGAAACCCAGTTACCAGAGGGCATGGAAACAGGAATTGAGAAAATTGCTAGATTTGAAGATATTTCTAGTACTCGTGTAGCAGAAACCTGGATGGATATTGATATTTCACAAGCTCCGAAGTTCATTTCCAAACCCCAGGACATCTCTCTACCTGAGAACTCTCTGGCTCACTTTGAATGTCGCCTAATACCAGTTGGAGACCCGACTATGAGAGTGGAATGGTTCCACAATGGAAAACCTCTTATTACAGGTATTCTAGCATGCACTAAAGGCCTGGCATCTCAGTAACAATTATATTCTGTTGACAGGTTTGATACAGACGCATATGTTATGGTATTTACATAATAGAGTTAATGACAAATTATAAGTATTTGAGTTTTAATGATTTTTCCCCCAATATAAATGCATGTTTGTATAATAAACAAAACAAAGCACCACTATATTTTTTTGATATATTCCTAAGGAACAAGAGTCAGATCAATCAGCGATTTTGGTTTTGTGATCTTGGAAATTGCCGGTGTCTACAAAAGAGATATTGGAGTATATACATGTAAAGCTGTGAACAGAGTTGGAGAAGCTACTGCCTCTGCAAACTTAACTGTTAAAAGTAAGTACTTAACCTTTAAATAAGTGAAATACAAAATTACCATGTATTATTAGAATGTAGAGTAAATACAACAGTAAACTTCTTGTACAGTAATTATAGTGTATTCTGCTTCTACGAAGAAAAGATAAGACTTGTTCATTTGGTTTATTGTTTTTATACAAAAACAAAACGTTTTAACAAAACATTTTAATTTATATTCATCATTGAATGAATATGCATCTACCAAAACATTTGAGTAACATTTTAAATCTTACCAATATATTCTGTATAATACATACAGATTAGTTAAAGCTCTTATATGATAAATTGTATAGAAAAAATGCATACGATAAAACTATGATAGAAATAAGAGTGCTAATAGAATCAGCTTATTTGTAATAAATCATGTAGTACTCCGCAATTAGTGATTGATTTGAAATAAACGGAAACAGTACAGGGTTAGATTCCTAACTTAGTCCATGTTTAAATTATCAGGCAAAGCCTCGGTAATTGTCGACCCACAACTTCCTGAAGACTTCAAATCAAGTACTAAAACCTTACAGCATCTAGAAGAATCTTTATATCAAAAGCAGGAGACTGTCTTTGATGAAGAAAAGCCACAACCTCCTCGATTTATCACACACATACAAGACCTTACAGACAAAGTTGAAGGGGACTTTGCTCACTTTGAGTGTAGACTGGAACCACAGGGAGATCCAAACCTCACAGTTGAATGGTATTACAATGGACAGCCTTTGATAACAGGTGCACATGTATTTATTGATTACCCATCAAATTATAGATGTGTTCACATATTCTTTGCTATCAGTGAGGCCCACATATTGAGTAATGTTATGTCTTTGGCTGTCCCAGCATTTACTTTAAATAACTGACAAAAAGAAATTGGGTTAAGTCACTCATTTTATATGCATGAAACATAGTAAACTCTAGCAGTAATTAATTTTGGTAACGATATTATTTTTGTTTACAGTTTACTTCTATGGCTCCTGTTACTAGGGGCCCTGTAACCAACAAAGTTATGGAACCACAAGCAACTTGGTACATAAATAATTTAGAAAGAAATCTTTTATAAAATCGGAAGGGCTCCATATTGACCCCATTCGTAATTTCTAAGGTTTTTGTATTTTGTTAAGAAGTTACTCAACACAATCACAGTGGATAATGCCTTTTAGCTGGAACTAATGTACAATTTTGTTTTTGTTAATTATCTGAAGTTTAGTCATCAAACCAGTTGGTTGACCTTTGGCTATTTGTTGTCTAACTAAGGAGAACTGGTTGGTATTCATATTCTATTTAAGGAAAGTAGCAATAGCTTAATACTCCTATTTTCTTATACTGAATGTTTATCTTTTCTGTTTTATTACTAAAATATGGTATCCTAAATGACATCCAGTGAAGTTGAAGAAACAAAATTTAACCTGTTAAAAATATCTCATTTTTCTACATTATTTTAATGTTTAATTTAGGTAAGTTGGTTGAATTAAATTGATTAAAAATTGTTATTTCTTTTATACATAAATATATCCTTTCAATTCATGAGCCAAATTTAATGTTTGTTTTATGAAACTTACTCTTAAATATCTCTAGATACTTTTAGTCCATAAATAGTTGTAAAAATGTGTACTGAGAGTTAATTGTATTTTAAAAGAATAATGTCCTAAGTCCCATGCTGCTCCCTGGATCTACTTTTTACATGATAGAATATTTTCAGTCTTATGGCCATGATTATATGTTATTGTCTTATAACCCACTTTCTGTCGTAACAAGCTAAGGATGGCAAGGTCAATTTTAGACCACACATTAATCAACTTTCTATGGATCCTCCACTACATGTGGATGTCAAGCTTCCAAGACCAGCCTGGTGATAGACCACTCGACTCACAATCTGTGGGTTGTGAGTTTGAATCCCACCACTGAATGTGCTATAAACAGTCACTTCTAAATTAGGGTCAGCTAATGCAGATAACCCTCAAATAGCTTTGAGCAAAAATTAAAAAAAACAAAGCTTCTTAGACTACAGTTAAGCAGACCACAGGTACTAAAGTCCAGTGAAGATACTTTGTGAGGATTTGACAGGTATGTGTGGGATTGCTGTGATTCCAGTTTAACCAGCCAGAAACCTCCTATTTATTTGAAGGTGTGAACACCTTCATTAGCTTTAACTCCTTGTTTATTATCATGTGAATGTTACAAGTTAATATGTCCAACTTTATTGTAATGACGTTTGAAGTTGGGGTGTGAGCTTTCATGATCACAGCTTTTACTTTGTGGAGGAGTGCATTGTTTCAGATTGACTAGGGGATAAGATTTTGGATCTGTTGTTGTTCTAGGCATGCTGTTATTCCATGTTTACAGTGAATAGACTTTTTGAAATATTGTGCCCTTTGGCTATATTAATAGCCGTCTTCAGTGAGATACTCCTCCAATCATAGCCTACCTTTAACAGCCCTTTGGCTATATGAATAGCCGTCTTCAGTGACATACTCCTCCAATCATAGCCTACCTTTAACAGCCCTTTGGCTATATGAATAGCCGTCTTCAGTGACATACTCCTCCAATCATAGCCTACCTTTAACAGCCCTTTGGCTATATGAATAGCCCTCTTCAGTGACATACTCCTCCAATCATAGCCTACCTTTAACATTACACAGTTGAATGGTCAAGAATTTGCAGTAAACTAAATGCATAGGTGCTGAACAGGTCACACTGGTGGTGCGGCTCACATCTGCAGTGAAACCCCACTGTGTTAGCACATGCAACTCTTTCTTATATAGTAAGGTTAACCATTTGAAACCAAAGCAAAATCATTTACTACTATATAAATTTAAAACTAAATCTTTAATTTTAACATGGTTTATAAAAGATATAAGCAGATTTTATTAAAAATAATGTTTGATGTGACTTTTTCTTACTAGGCTCACGTGTTCACACAATTAATGACTTTGGCTTTGTTGTTCTGGAGATTGATTGGTTATTCCCACGAGATGCTGGTGAATATGTTTGTAAAGCCGTCAACAGATGGGGCACTGACTCTACAAGAGCTGTACTGAAGGTTAAGAGTTAGTGTCTCAACTTCTGCATTGTGTTTATATCTTATAGCTATTTTGAAGTATACTAAATGCTACATAATAACAAGAGGTTGTGTCCTATATGATGTATTTCGGCATGTATATCTATGTAGTCAGTAACAAAAAATAATTAATACATTTTTATAAAATGTTATTTCAGTCTAGATTCTTTCTAAACGTACCATAAATATGTCTAACAAATAACAAAAAAGCTGATAATTCCTAAATATGTAGACTTAGAATTAAGACTTAGGTACATTTTAAGCTATCAGTGTAATGACTTGACTTTTATGATGATTAATGTGATGGTAAAATGTTGTCAGATAAAAGGGATATCATCATGGAGAGCCAGCTGCCTGAGGGAATGTCTGCTGATAAACTTCGAGCACTAGAATATCCATCCATGCAGGAACAGCCTGTGGAGGAGGGCCCTCTACAACCTCCTCATTTCGTCACGCAGATCCAACCTCAAGAAAATCTGAATGAAGGTGATGGTGCACATTTTGAATGTCATCTTGAACCTGTCAATGATCCCAAGCTTCGGGTGGAATGGTACCGCAATGGTCAGCCATTACGTACTGGTATGTTCTCATGAAATCTTTTTTTTAGTACTGAAAGACAAATGAATAAGAATTAATTTGAGCAACAACCATCTTTGAAACAACAAAGTCTTGGAACTTAATACTAAAGCGACCTGTGTTACTTGTACTTATTCATATGAGTACTGTCAAAAAAAGATTCAGTTTAGATATTATTGAGCTGAGTTTTGAAGTTTATGTAGTTAGGAGAATGTATACAAGTTGCTGTCACATTGGTAAGGCTAGAATTAAAATCTGTAAATAACCTTGGGTAAGTGACCTGTTATTAAAATGTTAGTGTAGTGACCTCAGTATTATTTACAGATTTTAATTCTAGCCTTACCAATGTGACAGCAACTTGTATACATTCTCCTAACTACATAAACTTCAAAATATAGATCTCAGCTCAATAATATCTAAACTTGAATCTCTTTTTTTTGACAGTACTCATATGAATAAGTACAAGCAACACAGGTTAGTGTAGTGACCTCAGTGTTTTAATAATTTTATAGATATAACTATAGTTAGCAAGTGTTGAAAAACAATACTGTGTTCCATGTACATGTTGTTTTATTAGCAAAAATATTATTTCTGATTAGTATTAAATGTATAACATATATATGTTCAAAGATGTCATGGATTGGTAAGATACCATAATCGTAGTTTTCAAAACAATAAACTGAGCAGTGTATCAATATCATCCACAAACAAGAGGGAATCCTCAATAGCCACAGCACTTGAAATTCTTTTAGGCAGGATTAGAATAAATTAATCTATGAGACCTTTATTTTTCCTTTTTAATTTGCTACATTTTTGTGCACCAGCAATTCCAAGCGTGGATCACGCGTATATCCAATTTGATTTTATTATTCATTCAGGATCTGTACCAGCCTACTCTCAAGTTGAAATTCTTTTAGACAGGATTAGAGTAAATTAATCTATGAGACCTTGGACATGGCCAAATACATCAGTTGGAAGGGTTTGACCTCCTCAGTCTAAAAGTGTAATTAGATCTCAAATTGGTCAAGAATTGACAGAGCTATGAGCTAAAAGTTTCTTTTTGAAAAAAAACAAAACATGGAGACATTCTATGAGCCGCTGTACTACAGCTAAAAATGAAAATAATTTTTTTTTTTCAGAAATAAGCAATTTGATTGGCCTGAATTTCAGATATTAATATCACCATTTTACCATGAAAAAATAGCAAGTCAAATCTGTGAGTATACCAAAAGCCTAGCCTGATAACCTACAAGAGGGAATGTCATTAAAGCCTAGCCTGATAACCTACAAGAGGGAATGTCATTAAAGCCTAGCCTGATAACCTACAAAAGGGAATGTCATTAAAGCTTAGCCTGATAACCTACAAGAGGGAATGTCATTAAAGCTTAGCCTGATAACCTACAAGAGGGAATGTCATTAAAGCTTATCCTGATAACCTACAAGAGGGAATGTCATTACAGCTTAGCCTGATAACCTGGGACAAGTAAGAAAGGCATCTGGACCTAGTTGCCAATGCAACACACTAGTCCAATGGATCCAGTAGTTTAATAGTGAGTATCTATTTTGCTTTAATGACATTCCCTCTTGTAGGTTATCAGGCTAAGCTTTAATGACATTCCCTCTTGTTTACCAAACTTTCACTACTTGCAGCCTACATGAAAAACAGACATTAAGTAACAAATCTACACACATTTACATTTTTGTCTTTTAGTAAATGATGTGATTGATGAAAAATATTTTATTTTAACACAGGTCACAAGTTCAAGACAACTCATGACTTTGGTTATGTAGCATTAGATGTGCTATATGTTTACCCTGAGGACAGTGGTGAATATATGGCCAGAGCCATTAATGATCTTGGTGAAGATATAACAAGAACAACCTTGAAGTGTAAAGGTTTGTTAGTTAAAAACAGAATGTTTTTGTGTTTAACAACAACATGTAAACTGTATTATTTTCAACTCATACTAGGAAATATTATGTTGTATTTGTATTTTCATTACAGTACAATCTTCTAGCATTTTGTTGCCAAAGATGTAACTTTTTAGAAAACATACAATCTCTATATTTGTAGTTAAGTTTGTAAAAACTTTTTACAGTAATGTTGGTTATGAATGAACAGATTGTAATTTATTTGCTATCTATATATATTTATTGAAGATATTGAGCTTGGAAAAGGTATAGTAATTTCATAAATATTTTTATGTTAAGCAGTTTTATTCAATGATGCATCATATTTGTAAACAAATGGTTTTAATATAAAGAAAAAATATGATTTTCTCCGAAATAAGTCAGTTTTCATTTGTTTATTTTTTTCCTTTAGGAAAGCCAGCTCTCATCTATCAAACCCAGTTGCCTAAAGAGATGGAGGGTGGTGTTCGAAAGATAGTTGAAATGGAAGCTGCTTGGCAGAGGTAAGATGACCTATATTGACAAAATGCAACATTAGTTATCAAGAAGACTGTTGCTTTTGAACTATCTATGCTCTGTCCACCATGGGTAGTCAGATCCCTGATTTTATCAATTTAAGTCCATAAACTTACTGGGGGACATCATCAGGAAGAAATAGTCTTCTGTTTTATTTCTTAAATTAATGTAAGTTTTAACTTATGAATATAAATGAGACATTTTAAATTGACATTCATGAGGTCTTTAAACTGGTGTATAATCTGTGGTGCTGTGTATGACATAATGGATATTTGTGAGATCTTTAGACTGGTGTAGAATATGTGGTGATGTGTATGACATAATAGATATTTGTGAGATCTTTAGACTGGTGTAGAATATGTGGTGATGTGT